TTAAAACACCTTCCCCAAACCTTTCCAGGCCCCGATTTCGATCAGAACCTCTACTCGGGCGGCCGGCCGGTCTTCCCATGATGGTTGGATGTAGATCACCCCTCCCCCTACCTCACTGGAACCTCACTTAGAATAGCCGTTACGTCACCTCTGTAAAAACCCTGATGGGGGTGGGTTGATCCACGATCCACATGATCCACGATCCACATGGCGTAGAACTCTCATTTCATATCTACTGTCAGAGATCTGAAATCTGAGACCGAATTGCACGCTATTAATAATCACAAATAGGCCTTGCAGTATATTGACACGTGATTGTTACAGTGGATGGCAATAAAATTGGGGCTTCCTTTATGTAAAGATTTTTTGCTGGATTACTAATGTCGTATCGAAAACCTTTTCAAAAATTCCTTTTATTTCTCTTGCAAAATACTTTTGATTTCAAGATACGAAGCATTTTAAAGCTTGTTTGCCATCCAGCAGAGCCTTCCCCAAGGGACCTTGGGCTGAAGTGATTCGTTATCAAAGTCATATACTCAGCACATGACTGTTTGATGCAAAAAGCCTATTGTAATATATTCAGTACCGAACAACGTAGTTTCCTTTTAGACTGGAATATGAAGCATCAATTTTGAACTTAAAAAGAGTTTTTCGTATTTTAGCTGTTTTTTTTTTTTCTTTTGAAAATAGTGTATACACATACAAAACTCAAGCTATCTTTTTTTCATTCGGTTTTTGCCATTTTCATAAACATGCGAACTCGCGAATCGGTAGCTGTGAGCTGCACGCTGAATCAGTCGGTATCTTTCATATTTTTGACTGGCGGCTTTGGAAAACCAAATTCCAACGGGTAAATCGCAACTACAGAATTCGCATTTTTAAGATAAAAATAGCAATAATCTCAAGTAAAAATAATGAATCAGTTTACCACTTTTGAAATTCATTGATACCAAAATGCTATCCAATTTTTTGAATCTAGAAACAGAGGAAGTGACGCCGTCAACCACTGTTCTTACCCCCATTGTCCCTACCACCCCTGGTACTGAGGCATGGTGGAATCCACGTCTACCTACGAACATCATTCCCAAACATTACAACCTGTTTCTGAACATCACTGTTGACCTGCCTCGATTTGATGGTCGTGTTGGAATTGATATCGAGGTCAACAACAATACTGATCTTATCATCCTGCACAATAATGGTTTAAACATCTCGTCTGTAGAAGTACTCAGTAAATCAGGAAAAGGTAAGTGATCAATGTTCTGAAGAATATTAGGCATACAAAGAAATCCCCCTACCAATATATGTAAAATCCAAACGAAACAAAACAAAAGAACAAAAACAAGGAGGAGGAGGACGATGGAGATGAGTATGTGCGAACGAAAATATGAATTTGTTTTACTTTCAACCCGGGACTTTCAACTTCTAAAAGAACATTTTTACATGCCATTTGCTTAATGGAATCAGCTGTTATACACAGGAAATACTTAATAAAAACATTTAAAACGTTCGAAACAAAGCGGAAATGGAAACTAATATGTTATTCCACGATTTTCAAAGCATTTGCATTAGGTAGACAGGAACGGGTTACACGATAACGGATTAAAAGTGGAAAACACATTCATAAGGTCTATATCTATTCGCGCGAGTATCTTGAAAAATAAAAAAAAAATAAACAATGAAAAAAAAAAAGTCACTTCCGTATGTCCGTCCCTCCGTCCGTCAGTCCGTAAGTACGTCCTTGTACACGCCACAGAATTCTCGTTCTAGGTTGATTTCAAAGCAAAACTACTTGCAAATGCACAAAAAATATTTTCACATCCATTAAAGAGACCTTTTTATAATCGAAAAGTTATGTGTTTTGGTCATCGCAAATAAAAATTAAAAATAAATAAAACTAAACAAAACTAAAAATATTAAATAAATAAAAAGAAAATAAATTGACTAATACGGTTTGAGGTTGATTCAGATCCTCAGAGGTCCTTTTTCTGGAATTGAGCTTCTCGAGAGAGCGACTTAGTTTTCACATCCATTCAAACCGGACCTTTAAAAACATTTGAAAATCTTCAAAATTTTGATTTGAATGAAAGACTTTCTGATGAAATTTCACTAAATCTGATATTGTATGTTACAATATATCTGTAGCTAGCTATCTTTCGGCGTTTTTCGAGTAAAATTAACCATCGATTCAAAGCTTGAAATGTCGTGTGGAAAACTTTATCAACGAATTTAAAAATCAAAAACATTTAGTCCCCTGGCGTGGTTTGTCAGTGGTGGGTTGTGTATACTTATCAAAATTTCTAAGTGGGAGAGTAGTGAGGTGGAGAACAAAGGCCCCGTCCACACGTATCCGCAAATTTTTGTATCCGCAATTTTTTTTTTTACGGATACGGGTTGCGCCCACACCTGTCCGCAAATTTTTGTGTCCGTATCCGCAAATTTTATGAAAACCGATACGTGTGGACGGTGAAAACGATTCGAATACGCTGCGTGTGGACGCAAAAATTTTCGTATCCTCAAAAAATAATTTGCGGATACAAAAATTTCCGGATACGTGTGGACGGGGCC